CCCCCCCCCTTCTTATTGCACGTGAATGTGAATCATAGTGGTGAGTCTGTGGATCAGCGTGAACTGCTGTTCAACACAAGAAGCATAGGAATGTATCAGAGCTTGCTGCTTTAGAGATTGTGATCATGCATCTTGTTTGATAATGCTGTCGAGTTAGCTCGCCACTCTTTTTCGAGGCCTTTCCAAACTGCAGGGAACTCTTGAATAAAGAGGCGGTTTTAAGGGGAGTATATTGGACAAAGCTGAACATTCCTGTTTCCAAGTTTTTCAAGGTGCATTAACCTCTTAGGTTTTTATCTTTTCCAAGAAAAGAAAAGTAGTGCTCTCCAATGACCTAGTTGGCAAAGGAGAAGTTACATAACGTACTCCATCACTCTCTGAAGGGTTGACGAAGGTTTGGGGTTGAAAGTTTACTCAACCGTAATGCCTAATCTGTAGGTAATGACCGAAAGAGAGGGAGGGAGGGATGGAGGGAGGGAGAGGTTTCTAGAAGCTGTAAAAAAAAGTCTGAAACCTGTCTGGCCTTGAGTATTTACGTGATAACCTGCACACGCACAAAAGCACATTTTACAGGTAGGAACGTGACGTTCTTTTTGTTTCTGGATGATTGATCAAATCTTGGTTGCTGATTGCTTCAGGTTGATAAGTTTCAACAGAACTGGCTTGACCAGCAGCAACTTTGGAAGCGGATTGCTGACAGAAACTCCCCTTTTTACCTGATGATAAGAACAAATTGACACTCATCACCACTTCAGATAATTTTTCCAGAACGACAGGATGCTCAAGTTTCACCTTTTCTCAACTGCTATTTCTTGCCCTTAATTAATTAATTATAATTAAGAAATCAAGTGAAGTTTAAAAAGGTAACTCATCTTCTACTTACCCCAACCTTTGCAGCAGAACAAACTCTCTGGTCTTCGTTGTAAGCACACGACACGCAAAAATGCTTATTTTGTCCTTTGGTAACTGTTGCTTAACTTTATTTCGACAAGAGTATCTCTGTCTCTTTCTCACCTTTAGACTACATATGTAACTGCTTTACTAGATCTCCACCCAGGTTTGAGCTTTATCTCTAAAGTGTATGTGTGTGTGTGTGTGTGTGTGTGTGTGTGTGTCTGTGTGTGTGTGAGTGTGTTGTGTTGTATGCACAGTGCTCAGGATCAGGTGACTTGGGTAAAGAGAGTTTTGACAGCAGCAGCTTTGTGGTTGATCATTAACCGTTCCACAGAAGGTGGTGGTGATTAGGCTCGACTTGTTGCCGTGGTTAAATAACGGGGTTGACGTGATATGAAAAAAGAATCGACAAAATATGAGTAATAGTGACAGAACACGAGCCTAAACTGCGATGCCAGGAGTTTAATTTGGATTTTCACATGAAGTTAGTTTGATAAAAGTACAAAGAATGTAACACAGTGTTTCGTCAAGTCAGAGTTTGGTGAGTCTGGTCTAATAGAACCGACTGGGAAGTTAATATTTGTGAACACACAGACGCACACTGATCCCTTCTTTTTGTCTTCGCTGTTTACACTTTGTGGTCATTGTCCATCGCCATAGCAACACATCGTGCCATTGGTCCAAAGGGGAACAAGACACAAAGCAAAGTGTGGGGGGGGGGGGGGGGCATAGCTGAGGGTCATTGAATGTGTAAAACCCAGTTCTTTTAGAAATCATAACGGGGTCATATAGCTGCGGCTTATTTCAAAAGTACATACAATACAGTATATGGACAGACTACACACATTCAACTTAAACAGTGTGTTGAACAAAAAATGCAATTCATCAAAATCTGGGTTTATCCCTTAAAATGAGCATAAAATAACTATACCACTATGTTTAGGGAAAACACAAACATAACACAAACTGCATGTGACATTAAAATAGGAACACCTAAGGGTGTAGCTTGGGTCCTCAGGTGGGATTAAAAACAACAACAATGTATTGTTCTCTTCAAGTACTCATATATTTTGTTTTCACACTTTACACACGAACCAAGTATTGAAAATAGTTTTTCTGAGACCCCTTTAGTATTTTATTTGAATAAATGATTGACCGGCTAGAGAATGGTTTTGTTCACATTTTATTGAGGAACTTATAAACTTGGAACCTAGAAGCTGAAAATTTGCCTATTTCGGATTCTCAATTTAATCATGTGTCACAAATCCACTATCAGACAATCCTGCGATCTGGTCACCATATTTTCCCACCACAAACAAACCACACCAGAGTTTGTGTGGAAGTGGATTGAGGCCAATGAAAGAAATGCCGAGGTATAGAAACATGTTCATAATGTTACAGAATAAGAAAGAGTAATACAAATTATTACGAAGCAGTCCCAGTGTAGCATTGTAGATAAAAACTTTTAGTGCCTATTTCCTAGACTCTGAAGTTCTTAAAAAATCGTATTTATCTCAACAAACTGCACTGTCCAGACTTGGTAATGTTACTTTAAGTTCAAATCATCATCTGCTTAATATTACAATCACGACACACCACTTCACAAAACAGCAGAATTGTGATCATGCGCAGCAAAGATTAGTCATTGTGTTGCAGGTTCTGAGTTTAACTCGTATAAAATGTCTCGCACATTTAAGACTAATGCAACAACTCATCTCCTAATTTTTCAAAAGGGCCTTTTGTTTGTGTCTGTTTCTCAGACACCATTACTGTGACAAATGCAATGTTGTCTTTCCAGATGGCAGCCTTGCTTCACAGAATAAAGTGCTTTGACGGTATGTGCGGGGTGGTGGCTGTGGTGACGGGTTGCTCAACACAAGATCGCACTGGGAGTGTAAAGTGGAAATTGCAACAGGAGGTTTTCATGAACTTCTGCTTAACTCGTTAATGTGCATTTCACAATCCCATCTCCATTGTGCATAACAGCTCCTATCATTTAGTCTCTGAACACTGGCAATTCAGCCCAGGAAGCAGAGGTGATCAATCAAATCGGTTGAAGCTGGAGATAACAGCGGCTGGAACTTTCCAGTGAAGAGAGAGCATTATGTGTATCCCCTTAGCTTGGGAACTCTATAAGGGTTAACTGTTGACTGGTTAAATGGTTGTTTTACTCAAGCACAGACAGATGTTTCCCAAAACACAAAATGACATGATCAACTTAATTCTGGGATGCAAGAATGCTGTTCAACAGGGATGTTAAGCAAGAGCCCTGTTTCTGGTAGAAATGGTAGATTTCATTCCTCCTGCTACCAGAGCTCCTGGTGTATCATTTTCCAGAACTGACTTTATTTGGTGTCTCTGACATTGAGCCCAAACTTTGCTGCGTTGACTGATTCTGACATTTTGTAATTCCTTTGGTTATGACCGCAGTCCATCTTGCCCATCTACTAAGTTTGATCGGAAAGATCAAGTGTTGCTTGTGAACAGCGGGACCTGCTCCTGACCCGTTGTGGTTTTGGACCTGATATTCAATGTGTACGATGGGACCTTATTCAAACGTACATGTTTGTTTTAAATCCTATTCGTGTATTTGTAACGATTTTGAGAGAGCCAAAGTTATTGTTTTACACTCGTTTGGAGTAATGTAAAAAAGCATCACATCTTTTACCTGAGTATTTAAAGGCTGCGTGATAATGTGTATAAGTGCCACCGTTCTTGAGGTGATCCAAATGCTGTAATCTGAACTGTATACACAACAAAGTGTATGCCATGAAACAGAAGAGAGAGAGAGAGACAAAGGCTTAGAGTTCCACATGCAGTATAGACTGTTCCTGAGTATGTAACCTGTAATAGAACAGGGACTTGGCTTGGTATCGGGAGGGTAGCAGGTCCCGAATGGACCAGGTGAGAGTCCCTAGATGCATGCATGTATGCAAAGCAAGAAAAATAACAATATTATTTAATTAATTTCCCCAAGCGGACAAATCAAGTTGTATAATGTAACTAATATTAACAATAACATGGCAGAAATGTTCCCAACTCTCAGAAGTGAAACATGGTATTATGGACATATTGTAAATTATGAGGCTGTGAGGTCAACAGTATTTTGTCCTGATTTAGGATTTACCTTCAGGAAAAATCAGTTCAGTTAAAATAATCAAATCTTCACTCACTGATCATAAAATGGCTGTAAAGAAAGTTCCTTAAGAGGTTGAAAATAATTATTTTTCATGCAGCCTGTTTCCTAATTTCCTGTTCCTATTTCCTGTTTACAACACAATAGTATTGACTGTACCAACACATCAATAAAAATCTATGCTAGTACTAATAACATCCCACATTCAAGGCAAAGTACTACCTCTATAACTATACATTGATTTGTACCCTTAAATTTCACTGAAATCTCTATAAAGTACTGTGGGGGAGTAAGTTACTAAACTGTGAAGATGCAAGTTATAATTAATGTGAGTAAGAATGATCAAGCATCTAATTCTCACTAAATAACAAATTGGAGTCAAAAAAGAACATCGTAATTTCATTTCTTTATTCAGAAATTAAGTTTTTTTTCCCTTTCAGGCAATTAAAAATATAGGATTCTCTTTTTTACTGCTTTTTCTCACATTGGTATTTCACAGACGTTGAAATATTTCTCCATAAATAAAGTACAAAATACATTTTGTTTTCTTTAAACACAAATAAATACCATAATAAATATATTAGTTTAAGTTAAACAACACAAGGCAACCAATGACCAAAAGGAATACTGCGGCGTTAAATTCCCTGAACCAGGTTGTCGAAGAAACAGGGGACAATAAAACGATGGGGTGCAATTTACAAGCTAGCGAAGATAACAGAATGTTTTACAGAATGAAAGTGTGTCAGGAAACAGAGATCCATAACTAAACTCACTGACCATCATTTCTTTTCTCCTGTTAGCACACTTTGATCTTTCAGTATTTTGCCACTTATACATGCTCGCACCCCAGGTTTTGGGAAAATTACATGGTTACACACATACCCACACACACAGACTCTCACACACTCACACACACACACACACACACTCACACACACACAAGCAGAGTGAAGTATGAAGCTTTGGTTGAATGCTACTGGGAGACTTGACAGTTTCTCCCATTTTGATAAGCTGTAAAGTGCATATCACAGATAAAATGGCATCAATGACACGTGTCGGGTCTCACTGATTAAGGCTACTGAATCAAACATACTGTTTGTGGCACCACGAGTAAATGGCCTATGACGCAGGGAAAATCTTAAAGACACAGGAATTAATGATTATCGCTAAAGATAAGCCATTTTGATCACTACAGATTAACAGTAAGGGCAAACCAGGCTATTAACTGGTACTGGCAAGACCTGCAAAAGAGTTAATTTTTATGGAAGACCACATACAAAGGTCTAATAGGCTACACAGTATTTTTAAGTATAAAAATAGAGTCTGATAACATTTGGATTCTAAAATCATCTCAGTATGTAGTTTTTTTCCAAGACGAGTTCCATTTTACAAACATAAATTAAGAACTTTAAGTGTTGTTGTGTCAAGTTGACTTGTCCTGATCAGTTCTGGTTCTGAAGAGAAGTTCAGATAAACAGACACAGGTGACAAGGTGTCAGAGTTCTCTTCAGCTCTTCCCTTTTGCTCCGTTTAGTCGGACAGGGACAGGCGTTCAAACACAGTGAGCCTCTTGGTGGCTGCGTCGAAGGTTGGAGACTCGGTTCCACTGGAGCCTCCGCTGCTGCTGCTGTAGCTGTCCTCCAGGGAGTCCTCAGAGGAGAAACGCTGGAGTCCAGCAGGCTTCACGAATCCTCTGTGGCCTCCGGGACCAGGAAACAGCATGCTGCTGTCTTGGTTGTGCCCGTCATCCAAGCTGGCGGCTCTGCTGTTGTTGCTGTTAAAGTTATTTCCATGGCCACACACACAGTGTGAGGTCTTTGGCTCCAGCATGAGGGGAATATTGTGGATGTCTCCGGTGCTGGCACGGGTCTGATGGTTGCCAAACTGGAATGCTGCTACCTCCCGCTGCAGGGAGTCACTGAACACTGGGGAGAGGAGATCAGCAGGAGGGGGAGAAACGGAGGCAGCACGGCTGAAGCCCAGGTTCGGATCATTGAAGGATGAAAGGAATGATGGAGGAGGGGAGCAGCGTGAAGAGCCCAGAAACCCGCCGAAGCTGACACTCTGGCGCAGCTGGTGGCGTGGATTCTGACCACTGGTGCTGGTGGGAAATTGTTGCTGCTGATTCTGGAATTTGGCAGTCGATAACGGAGCTCCGTTGATTTTGTCCTCATGGATGAAGTGGCAGCGTGAGCCATAGGGGCAGTAGCCAAAGTTGTAGAAGGTTCTGCAGGGCTCTGTCTTGTACTTGGGGTGGCGGAACAGTCCACGCAGCTCCGGCTCGCCATGGGCAAACTGGCACTTACTGCCATACTTGCAGTTGCCAGTCTCCTGGAAGCCACGGCACAGCTCCGTCTTGTAACGATTAGGGGCCACCACTGGTTGAACCTGGGGTGGGAGGGTAGATGAGGGAGGGAAGCCAGGTGGTGGAGCCACGGTAGTGGCAGAGGGAAAAGCCTCCAGGTTCCTTAGCTGTCCGAAGGAGGAGAGCAGGCTGCTGCTGGACTCGGTCAGGCTCATGGAGCGGTCGGGCCTGAAGGGGAGCTGTTTAGATTTTGAGACGGGGCCCTGGCTCCAGATGTTGGATGACCAGAAAGGGCTGCCGTTGTCGGTATTGTTGACATGCTCGGTGCTCAAGCTGTGGCTTGAGGGGGAAGGAGGGGAGGGGGAAGAGAAGAAGGAGGTTGACCTGTTCAGCCTACTCTGCCCCGGGCCTTTGAGTTGAGACTGTTTAGGGAGCAAGGCTTCTTCCAGGGCCAGGTTCATAAAGTTCTGTTAGAGAAGATTGACATAGTTATTATACAGACCTTGATGCTACTCATTTCAAAGCAAGTTTGTACTGTATGTTGTATGTTCATAATTTTTCTCTTTAAACCTACTTTCTACAACAAATCTATTCAAAGTTAGTGTTGTATTCAGCAAAAAACAAGCTGTTATAGAATCGGTTCATATGCGAGATATTTTATTTCTTTTTTTTTTGATAAAGAACAAAATGAGACAAAAATGCCAAAACAAAGTTGTAAAGACGGCAATCATGAAAAAAACGGTACAGTACTAAACTTTCTATCTGCCATTTACATGCAATCACAAAATACAAATTCAGTATAGATAATTGCAGTTTTTGACTGTTTTCTATTTCTCATGAATATTCTGAGAGTGGAAGTCTGGAAACGAAGAAACAAACAAGCCAGCACTAACTGTCTCCCTTATCTCATTAAGTCTTTAAACTGAAGAAACCCTCTGTGACTAAACTCAGTTCAAAACGAGTTCACTGTCAAATCAGTGATTCATAAAATGAGCAGGAATAAACAAACACTTTGGGAGAGGAGCCACAGAGCGGCCCCATTCCAACTTTATCAGCCTTTTTTTCCTCCAAAACAAAATAAAAAATTCCTTCGCTTCAACTCACCTTCGTGAAAATGTCGTCAAGCATTTCGGACATGCTGTATCCCTTTAGCTAAAAGAAGATTTAGCTCTGATCCACGGGTGACTGTTAGAAACCTATGTCCAGACTTAAGTCAAGTTAGATCTGTGCTCCGGTCCCCTTGCCTTTTATTTGCCTTAACTCCTCCCCCAGAGTTTAGTAGGAGTTCCCACATGCTATGTTCCCGGATGACCCTCCCTCCACCTCAAGTTTCATAGTGATCTCAGAGAAGGGCGGGTAGTAAAACAACAACAACAAAAAATAGAAAGAAACTGTGTATTTTTAGTTAGCTGTGTGAAATGCTTTAGTTTCATATAGGCATCTGAAAGCAGAGTGGCTTATTTACATAGCTCTCCTGCATGCTCTCAATCCAGGCCAATGGCACAAGCTTGTTTTTCCTGTGTTTATTCCTCTTCTGATATATCATTCCAATTCTGTGAAATTTCTCAGGATGTGAAGCACCCAGATGTGAAGTGGCAAATGAGTCTTGTTTGTTCAGACGCTAAACGCTGGTCCTTTTCATCCCACATTAACAAGTAGAGATGAGCTTTACACGTACACAGGCATAATTACAGCATATACATTTCTATGACTAATGGTTTTCAGGAAGTGTAATAAGTCGTCTTCTCCCTGATCAGATACTGTAAAGTTTCTGAGCGTTTTAACCCACAGAGAGGAGAGAATATATCACTGAACCTTATTGTTTACCAGAATTCACACAGCTGCATTTCCCCTTACTTCCTTTGGTTTCTGTTGGTATTTCAATGGGGCTCCAATATTCCACCAAAGCAAAGAAAGAGTGCAACAGTTATCAAAAGAGTAACATGTTGTGGTATTGATTAGTGGAAGGCAGAAACCTTTGGGCTGGAAACAAGATAGAAGTGAGTACAAATAAATACATGCAGTTTTATTCAATCCTTCATGCGCAACGCTGTTCTTCTAGTTCTCCTGTGACTATTGTATCATTTTATATTTAGAATTTTTACATTTAACCATACCAAGCACATTTTTTAAAGGTGTTTCTTTTTTATTTTTTTTTTTGAAGATCCACACCTGCGTCAGACACAAACCCAACTCAAGATGTTATTACCAGAATCATTTTTTTTGTGTGTCTTTTTTCTTCTTCTGGTTTTCGTGGTGAGCGTTGTCTTTTTGTTTTCCTTCTTAAAGGAATTCAGAGGAGCGTGGCAGCTGCTCTCCCCACAAGAATGTATTACTGTAACATAATGAGTGTTATGTGACCCTGTGTTATTTTGTAGAGTACTACTGGATACACACTCACTAAAGGTTATTCCCTTGACTCACACATTGCGAGGGCTGTATTCACATGGTGTCACCTGACTTGTGTGACATGTCACACTCTCTTTTCTTGTAGCATATACATTAACTTATAGCACGTTGAATAAATGATACAGCTTATAATAGCTTCATTATCTGAGCAGAACTGTGTCACTGCATCACTGTGTGTATTGATGATTCCTTAATTAAATCAGAAGCTTGATGAATACAGACTGATAAGAGATTATTATAATGAGATATGTGGGGAAAAAGGAGGTGAGAGTGATTCAGCGAGATTCAAATAAAAGAGTCTCCTGAATTGGTGAAACTCCAAGAACTAAGTCAATTATCTGATGTATGTAAACATTTCAATCAGCCTCTGTTTTCTTTCTATAAAAGTCTTTTGCTGATATCCGCAAATCAGGAGACTACATTATTTTCTGGACTGCTGCTGCTGCATGTGTCACCCACTCACATGACTCATATTTAGTCCTGGCAATGACTGTGCTGACGTTGTAATAAATGTTGTGTAAGTGTAGAAAAGTCACTGCAATATTAACTGCTTAATGGCGGTAAACCGAAGAAGGGTGCCCCGAGAGAAGGAAGGCTGAGAGAAGAGCTCATGAGTAGTATTCCGTGATGACAAAATGTTTTTTGTCTCATGTTGCCTTGGAATTTTTCTTTCGGTCCTGTAAATGTGTTCCAGACATTGTGACCATTAGGCCAAGGATGCAAGACTTTATTTGACATGCATTCTTAAAAAAAAAAAAAAAGAAGTATTTAATCCCAGTGTAAATAATCCCATGCCTCTTAAATAATTGTATACATGCAGTTATGGTTACAGACACTCTCTCAACCTCCCCATACTCTTTAATTTGAGTAATTCATTTACCAAAAAAGTGATCCACAAAACCTTTCCACAGATATCACACAACTCTATTGGACTATAAGTATGACATCTCACAAAATTGTAAGTACACAGGCGAATCTCTCTGTAAAACAACTTATTAAATGTTTTACAGAGTAACTTCCTACTTCAAGCAGTGAGTTATGAGACAACCATAGTTTCACTACAACTTACCGCCAGAAGACGTCTGTGTTCTCCACGCTCTGATCGCACTGTACTTTCTTAAGTGTATCCCCACACGTGTATCGGTGTCATCGGAACCTTCAGTTTTCTTATATTTAAATACCCATTTCTTTTTAATATTTGTCACAATTGTGTTTGTTTATGAAACTGTATTTTAAGGGATTTTAACCACTGATGTTATGTACTGTAACAATAACTCTTTAAATGATGCCATATGGATGCTTATGATTTTCTTAAGATATTCTTAAAAATGGCAGAAGTTTTCAGTGAGAATTATGCACCGTCATGTCAACTCACAGCCCTCATACGCAGACAAGTGGACAGACGGACAGGCCAGCTAAGGCCAAGCAGGCCTCTCATGTTCAGCTATTAATAACTGCAGCGAGATTTACATCACTTAACTAACTATAAATCTGACAGCATTTGGAAAGTATATTACGAGGCTGAATAAATGGTGTGACATGATTTTTCTTTCTCAATTTTCCTGTACTTTCTTCAGACTTTTCAGAATGCCAGTACATTAGTAAGGCGACCATGTGGCTGAAGTGACATGTGTTTGTGTGTATTTCTGTATCTGTGTGTGTGTGTCATGGATACCTCATTCTTCTTGTTTCTGTTCTGTCTCTTGCTTCGGTTGCATGGAAAGTCACTCTGACAGGGAGGGGCTCTCACTCACTCACTCACTCACTCACTCACTCACTCACATGTACAAGCTCACACAAACACAAACTTAAAGGAGCATTCCTGCTGGTTGTGGCTTTCAGGTTGTTGTTTCTTTTCCCTTGGTGACTAAGTGAGCGAGTGTTCAATGCCAGGTTTTCCGCTGGGATTTTTCTTTAATGACATGCCAGCGTACATGTAGCTTTCCAACATGTTTGGACTTGATCAGACGTGTTATAAAAGAGAGTGGCTGTGGGAAAATTTGTAATATTAAAAAAGAGGAGGCAATAGGTTGCAAAGCTGTGACTAATCCATATAAAACAATTATTTAAAAAAAACACATTAACAAAACCTGTACAATTGTTATTAATCCTAGGTGTTTACATGTAATATAGGTTTTTATGGGAAATATATGTGTAAGATGTGAAAGTATGTTGTCATGTTTAGGGACGGCATAGTATAGGGAGACCAGTCCTCAGCTGGAAAGCCCTTAATAGAAGCCATTCACTAAGCTTGATTTCATTTTCTAATGTAAGTTCCCTCTCATCACATGAGCCTTAATATGACAATCTTGTTATTCCATAGCATACAATTGACACATTTGTCTTGCTGTGACATCTTCCAATGGAATGAAATGGGTGCTTTCTTTAATGTCTGTGGCATGAAACCTAAAAGAAAACAAGAGTTTATGTTGTAAAAAGAAAAAGCCGGACATCCTCTTGTTGTGCTAAAAACTAGCTTGCACATAAAGGAACCAATATGTCTTTATAGTAACTATAAAACATTAAACATAAAGAGAAGAAGAAGCTACTACAGGTCATGCAGATCATTCCCCATATCCCTATAGTGTGCTTGCACTGCGTCATGTACTGCATCTGTGTGGTGTCACTAAGCTGTATAGATGGATCATTAACTAGGCCCATGTTTATCCTTATCAACCGTGTAGCATCTGCTTTTACATGTACAGTAACTCAATCAGGAGACTAGATTAGTGGCTGAAAACCTTTAGAAAGTTGGTGACTTTTAGATGCCATTTGAATTAATTATACAATATTATAGGTAAGTTCAACTATGTTGTGGTGCTAATGTCCAAAAGAACTTAATTTCTCCTGAAGTACAGTTATTATTATGACTATACAATGCTGAGGAGGATAACTGATGTTATATATTGAACCCTCAACGATTCTTAAATAACTATTATTTAAGAATTATTGGGACATAATAGCACTATATAGTGCTATTATATCCCAATAGGAGGGAAATATCAAAGGGACTTTTAGGAGTCTGACTCACCCTGGATGGCCGTAAACTGCTAAGTCATCGTCATAGTGAGAGCCAGGTGAGGTCAAAATACAGAGACAACTCCCAAAGGGCTGCTATGGTTTCCGTTATGCTGAAACAAAATTGATGCTGATGGCAATGGCGATGGTTATTCTAGTGTTAAATATTTTTTTTATCTTCAAATTAAATTAAACCTTTCTCTTTAGTTTCTATTGCCTTTCTCTTTTTCATTTCCTGTATCCCTCTGTCCCAGGCTCAGTTTCACCTAAAGCCCTTGACGGATACGTTTGCCTGTGCCTCTAATAAGTGATACTTTGCCAATATTTAACCCTGTCCTCCATAACAGCGCTATGGTGACATGCCAAACATTGCACGCATAAGCAGGCACGGGTTCAACAGTTACTTAGCAACAGCTGCGGAGCAGGTTTGCGGAGCTAACCGAGCTGCCCGTGCCTCTGAATTTAGCAGGTGATGCATCGGGATAAGGGAGAAAGATGGAGGAAGAGGAGTGAAGGGAGCACGAGGAGGGAGGAGAGAAAGTGAGTCATTGGCTGAAGTTGGTCGGGGGCCCATGTTGACATTATAGGCCCCGGGGAAAGTACCTGCCATTCCAAATACACGCAGTATATTTGGAGAGGCAGGTACACCGTGTCTCCATCTTTATCTTATGAATGTTATGTAACAGATAAAGGGGATCTGTATAGGATAATTTGATAGGGACCGTGGACTTTGGAAATCATGCACTGAACACACCGCAATGCTCTGTGATCGTGCAAACACAGACGTTACTGCGAGGGTCATTT